TCTGTTGTTTCTCTGCTGTCGTCTTCCTCATGTTCTCTGCGTTTGATGTTTCTGTGCATCTGTTTTGCTATCGCCCTGTAACATTCGATGGAAATCCACGCCTCCATTTTTTTCCCCCAGTAGGTTAAGGCTCCTCTGGGCCTACTTTGATCTGAGGTCTTCTGAGATCATCAGGCCTTATTGTTTGTCTCCTGTTGGGTTCTCCTCAGGTGTCTAGGGCCCGGCGGCACCGGCAGGTGGAGATGGACACCTCAGGTTCTGGGACAGATCCTGGACTAGAGGTGTCTCTGCGCAAGAGGCCTCAGTCGTTGCGAGCCAGAACTAGGAAGAACCTGATCGGGAAAGGTTTGGCCGTCCCCCCAAATCCACTCCACTGGCCCCCCTGATTCCCCTGCTCCCACCTGCTTTGGTGATAACGCTGTCCTCCCCACCTGTCCGGTAGGTGACATGAAGGAGGAGCCTCAGGAGTTTACCCGACAGTGGCGACTGACAGTGCCTGAGGACAAGGTGCATGGTGAGTGACATGATGGCTCTTCCTGTGCGGTGTTATAGAGACATCCATTACCCATCTTACTCTGTAGGAAAGACTTTTATTATGATACAGCCTGATATGGATACAGGGGGGAGGGAGGCGCTGGTTGCCATGGCAGCGGCACCAGTGGTTGCTAAGTGGGCAGCCGTCTGTATTGACTAATTGGTTGACCGGCACTGGATACGACCAACAGTTGAAATATAACTTTATTTTATTTCCCTTTTAACTTTGTACATTAAAAATGAATATGGAGCTTAGATCATTTATATAGGTGTGGTTTAAAATGAACCATTTTGTCACAATGAAAGAAATGAATGCTAGTGCAGCATTTACAAATATATATTTTTTTCTTTCTCCCCTTCAGAGAGACCTAAAAAGAAGAAACGATTCAAATGGTAAAGCGGAAGGAGGTGATTGTGGTGGGGGCATGATTCAGCCTGTCTGTGGTGATGCCCCGTTCTCCACGCCTCCACGCCATCAGCTTTTGGCCTCTGCTGGCCGGATAGGCTCCCAATGGTCTACTGTGTGGTGGGCCAACGGACATACGCTGGTGTTTACGAAGCCTCTGCTCTAATCCCCTGAGTTCAGGAGTGGAGATATTGTTTTATTGAATCTGTAAGGATCCGCGTAAATAAAAATGTTTTGTAGCTAAATGGGCAGTTTTTAGGCTCAATATTATCAATAGGTTGAATGTTCAAAGTTTGACTACAAAATAAATAAGTTGTTGGCAACTTAAATGTTTGTGTGTGAATTTGCACTTTATTCATTTATGACCAATGAAAAATGTGGGAGGTTGATAACATTTTTATGCGGACTGAAATCCAGGCGTCTAGTCAAGTATTAATAAACACGCGGATTTGTAACTTTCAGATGCACCTACTTCAGGATGTCCAAATAGTAGAATTGCACCCCCTACAGGCTATGTCGCTCCCATTGTCTGATTATTAATATTCTTATCATGTTTTAGTTATTATTCAGTATTAGTCTGAATTACGTAGGACTTGTTTTCAGTTCCCGCCATAATGAGCTTTGAAATACGCACTATTAAAAGAAAAATACCTTTAAGCTGACCTACGGTTCCTTGTATCCCGGACGGGGCGCATGAGATCCCGCATTTCTTCTCGGAGAAGCAGAAATAACCTCTTTTCGATAGGAGACGTTTCCTTGCGACTACTACAGGATGGTGAGTGTCATTAATAATTATAATGTGTGAATCAAGCTTCCAATTGAACCGGATTAAACGGATCTGCTGGAGGAAATCAATGTATGCGGCTGGCTCGCTCCCCATTTTATACAGTGTGAAGTGGAGGACGGAAGGATCCCTCTTGTTTGCACAACACGTTTTCATGGTGTGAGAATAAATCGTGGTGGTCGCTTATTACGCACCTCCAGCTTCCCGTCCCACCCACCCCGGAGAGGGATGCTTTAACCACTTAACATGTCCATAGCAGGGGGGGGAGGGCGGTAAAAGAAAGAAGACATCGTAACTGCGGTTGTGGATGAAGGAGTGAGCGGAGAGCGCCTTTCCATTAGATCCCCGTCAGAAAGCGCAGTCTGCAGCCTTCTCACCCGTGAGAGACCGGCGCCCGGCGAAGGTCCTCCGAGCTGCAGAGCCGGAGAGGTCATCCGTCCACCATGGCTTCTGACAGTGAGTAAAGCCTCTTCCGACGTTGTTAGGAACGATTATTATTTTATCCACTCGGGGATGTGTGGTACATCCTAGGATAAAACCGTGTGGTTTCACATAACGGTGTTTTGACAATGCACGGGTTTACACACGGAAAATGAACCGCCTCTCGACCAGTTTATAGTTCAGAAACTGAACTCTTACTGAGTGTCCTCTGCCGCTGCTTCACAATGGAAGAGTAATCTTTTCGTTCATCAAAAATATGTAAAACCATTGTCACGTACAACAAGCCGATTTGTTTTATAGAGGCATGATTTGGATGTTTAACACCGATTATTAAAGGGATTGCATGCTTTCAGACATTTTTTTTCTACAATACTTTTCTAAATTCTGTATGCTACTGTGAGTATGAGGCATGAAGTAAAAACTTAACGTTTTAAATTAGCAATGCCCAAGAGGGAAATTGGGGTGGTGGTGTTCAGGCACGTTTTACAGTAAGGTAAAAAGTGCTCTTCCTGACAGGGTTTGTTGGATACCCTTCCTGAATATCCCTGCTGCCATGGTGCAGCCCGGGGGGACGCACTTCACGTGCCGTCCGTGACATTACGGGTGTCCCGGCAGCTGGGAGGATGTTTTATGTATATACATCCTTAGCTAACTTCATTACTGCCTTACTACGTTCACTTCACCTGAACTTGAGGCCTGAGTGATCTAAGGAAAATTATAGAGCGATCGCGCGTGTCTGAAACGGTGAGTGCCGGTTCAGTCATCAGGTATCCTAATCTAATGAGAGGCTTCTGCCAGTAGGGGGCCTCGGAGAGCAACCATGTAACGAGTACAAATTGATCGATGTACCTGGGTCGGCAATAGTGTTAGCGTGTCTACATGAAGCCCACTGTCTGGGGAAGTCCCAGGCCCAGGGCATGGAGGTCCGTTTGAAATAATTACCATGCCTGGGCCAAAATTATGCCTGCTGGGCCTGAGTGACATATCTGATTTTATTTTGAGGTTTGTAGGTATGTAGGTTTAGAGAGTTGACATGCCCCCTAGTTTATACACCTCTGCACAGAACTGATTTCCAGATTCCATCCTCAGAAGGTAGGTTGTTATTTTGGCCGTACAGGTTAAATTTTGTTAAGTGCCCGGGACTGTCAGTCTGCAAGCATTTCTGTGAGACTATGTGATGGTGTCTTTGGTCTCCCCGACAGCTGGAGCTGATTCAGAACATTCAATCTGATTGGACGGTAATTCAGTGGTAATACTGGGCTGTGGGTGGACTCTGACAGCATCCTTTCTTCTTAAAGGCGGAATTATAGATTCAGTATTAATGTACCCCTCTCCGATAGAGAGCCAAATACACAGAAAAACTTCTCAAAGCGAGGGATTTAGCTTAGTTTTACACAGCTACACACTGTGTTTTAGCTCAGAGCAGAGCTCGGACTTCTTAAAGCATGGCCGGGGTTTGTCCCAGAAATCACCTGCACACAGATTCCAGTTCCCAGTGACTCCATACACGGATTCCAGTTCCCAGTGACTGGAAGCCTTGGGAAACTAAACTGGCTTCTGAGCAGAAAAATATGCAGCTTCAAATTATTACCGTCATTTGTTACAACATTTTTGCGTGAGCTTAGGACTTCCTTTCAGGTTTTCAACCTCATTTCATTTTCCCAGAGGGAATAACTGCTTAACCGAGGAGACGTGGATCTGCAGATAAATGAGAGTGAAGTAGAAATTTCGTCTGGACTGCTGGAAGTGTGATTTGTAATTTGGCAACATGTACTTCCTGTTCACACAGATTACTCGGGCCCTTCCTTCTCAGAAACCACACATCGACCCCACACTTGCTTCAGAGGCTGTTGAGTGGCACTGAGGAAAGCAGCGGTTACACATGAACCAGGAAGTCAAGGGCTTTGTGATTTTCTGACTAGTAGTGTTATGTGGGTAAGGGGTGTAGCGGAATAAAAATGTGACTTTGGAGGAGATTCACCAGCAGAGTGCATGTAGAGGTCCAGCTTCTGCGTGTGTGCGCATGTGTGTATTTGTGGGTGTGCGTCTGTGCTTCTGAAGGTACATTTAGGTGTGCTGTTTACTCAGGTGTGAGTCCTGACAGGTCCATTACCGCAGACGCCGTGCTGTGTCTTTTGAGGCGGGGACACATGAAGGACGGTTTCTGAGAGTTAGACGTCGCATTCCTAATTATTGCTTTCACGTGACGGAGCCCAGAACTGTGGGAGCGCTTGTGTCGGTCAGGCCCGGCTGTTATCTCAGCCTCTCTGTGGTTGTTTTGTCTGTAGGGGGACCAGGAAGGGAGGTGGGCTCTGTAGAGCAGGAAGCCTGTAGATTGGGCGGAGGGCGGCCGTGATCCTGCCAGCGGAGGAGGTAAGCAGAACGTCGGGGAGGCGAGGGCTTTATTCAGTTCTCAGTTCTTGAGGGGACCTCCATCCATCTAAAGCAGAGGACCAGAAAGACCAGAGAGGAGCAGCCCCACAGAGCGCCCAGCCCCGGGGGGACCGAGGGTGACTCCGTGCTTCCCAGCAAAGACCCGTGAGCCCATATTCACATGATTCTAGTTCTTAGTAACTTTATTGGAACATTTAGCTAAACTCTGCTCACTAAGGAACTCGTTTGCAGGCCCGTCTTTCCATACCACTGGAGACCCATTAAATGAATGGACTCAGCTGAACTTTGTGTTGCATTTTTCTTAAGAATACAACAGCACTTTGTCCTAGTAGTTGAACCTTTGCTTCATAATCATCTGAACTTAATAATCATCTATTTGAAGAGCTCCATCTGTTGTTAATATAGACCTTTTGTACCAGGACAGCAGTAAAGAGGTGGGTGTTGTTTTTATGGGGATCTGTTTCTTGTTCTGAAGTTTGGATGCCTAGTAGTAGACTGGAATGTTTTGTTGCCCTCTTGAGGGAGTGGGTGATGGGGAATAAGTGATTTTAAGAAAGACTTTAATCATGTTTTGTGTAATTGCTGAGGTTTGTTAAATTTACTGTCCCTGCCTGGATATTCCTTTGATCTGATTTATTTTGATTAATGGCTTAGGGCTAGAATCTATTGGTCGGAACAGTTTTTTTAACATTCCAGATGGGGGCGCTATAATGCCATTCAATGACTGTTTCCATCTGCATTTTATAGCAGACCTTGAGCAGGAGGGTGTCGGCATTATCTCGGCATGTGACATTCTCTCTTTCCTTCCTTTGTATTGGATGCGAAGGTCTGTGGGTCTGACAGCACTTGCACTCATTGCAGTGATTGGGGGGGCTGCCCAGTGTCTGGGGCTCCTGTCCCAGTGTGTCCTGCAGGGAGGGGCATCTCCTGTGTTTTTCAGCCCCTCCCAGACTCATTACCATCTGCTTCAGCTTTCAGGATTCTGTGCTGTTCGATTTGTGGGTGGGTGGGGGTTGCAGTAGTTAGTAATCTGTGTGTATTAAAATAAACGCATTCATGTGCACATACATGGGTGCCTATTTACACACGTGTGGTGGCACCTAAAGAATTAAGCGCGATTCACAATCTAAGGTATTGGAGGGTGTATTGTTTGATCGAAGTTGTGGTTAAGGCACAAGGGCGCAACGTGTCACCCGCTTCCTTTCAAAATAACTGGGCAGTGACAGGAAGAGAGCGGTGAGCAACGTAGGGAGAGATTGGCCCCCGGGGGGGACAGGGGGTGTGTTTGCCATCACCGCTGAGGCCAGCAGGTCGCAGGGGTTCAGGCTGCCACACCTGCATAGTGGTGACACATTCCACGTTATCCTGTCCAATCATGTCAGGCATGTGTCTCCATGGCAACACAGCTCCTGTTCTTTTCTTTCCCATGTGTGGGTGAAGCCACGGACGCCATGTCTGCGGAACAAGGTTTCCACGGCAACCGGCTGATCCGCAGCGCTCAGGTGTAGGGGGGGCGGCACTCATCTGTGGCGCTGGGAAAATTGTAGCTGGAGATTGCGGGGGGGGGGGGGGGGTCAGCTCGGTCGTAACGTGTGAATGCCTGTGTGTGGTCCCTCACGGGACTCCACGTTCCCCTCTAGAACATTCCAGGGGTCCGGCTCGGTCGGGACCTCAGGGAAGGTGGTGACCTGAAGGTGAGTGTGAAGCAGACCCCCCCCCGGCCCTTGGCACCATGCCTGCGCTCTCTGCCAGTGTCTGACCACACCCGCTCTGCACACAGCAGAACAAACACAGAAATCCTGCCTCTCCCCTCCAAGTTCTCACTCACCCTGCGCTTGTTACCTGACATTGTATCCTGGAATCTGCAGTCAACGCCACGGGACTGCTGGTCATGTGACTGTAGTGGACGGTGCTGCCGGATCAGTATGTCGGATGTGATTATTCGTGTAAGCCTGCGTGTGGGAGCTGTCAGGTGTGGACGGGTGGTGTGACCTCCAGCCCAGAACTCACCCCAACGAGGGACTGTGTCTCTGTCAGGCATCAGACGCTTATCTGGGTTTGTTTTTCCTTTTGCCAACAACCCATGTGTCCTTGAAGTGCCTCCGTCGTCTGATTCGGGGCTAAGTAAGAGAGTCTTATCAAAGCTGGGGTAGCTGATAGAATTGGATGCTGTGATTGGTTTGCACTGGTCTGTGACTCCTGCTCTCCCTGGGGTATTTAAATGGGCGCATGCATCTTTGTCGTGTGATCGGTGAAAGCTGGTTGAGTCGTAGCCGCACCAGAAATTGCTTTGCGAACAACGATAACGGTGTCTTCAGATGCCAGTTTCTGAGTGGCCACAAGATCACTCATCTCAGACTTTGGTGGGGAGTCTGTGATTTTGGATTCTCTGGCTGAGATGGACACCGGTCGGTTCCCAGTGACGGAGCATGATGCCGACCGTCCCCCGGGCAGCTCTCATGGGGCAGGTACCTCATTTTTGCTCAGCATTAACCTGTCTGCCCGTCTCTCTTACCCAGTCACCCCCAAGGCGTCTTGCTGCTGCTGCTGGCCCTGGTCTTCCTCTTCATCGCCAGGAAGTCCTGCTTCCCCCACGTGCGTGGCCTGCCCTGCCTGGAGCTCTACAGCAGGGGGCGGGGCTCCTACAGGAAAGGCAGCATCCGCCAGGCCCTGGGTGAGTTTCAAGCCATGGGGATGGGGGGGGGGCATCTGGTTTCCATGGCTATCCCACTCCCATTACGCTGGCCCTGCCCCCAACCAGTCCCTCATTTCCCCAGGATGTCCTGCTGGTCTCCGCCTCTCTGCTGTGACTTTGTCTCCCTGTTCCTTCACAGCAGAGGACATCTCCTCTCCCTTTACACTTTATTCATCACCTTAATCCATTAGCCAGGTTTCAGACCTCTGGATTTGGGTCCCAGACTCAGCTGGTAATTCTGTTAGTCTCACGTCAGCTTAGTCACGCTGACAGATGTGTTCCTTTCCACCTTCCGATCACAGTTCCATTTTCCCACCTTGCGCTGAGGTGTCTGCCCCCCCACGGCAGCGTTTATGTAACCGGGCCACGCCCTCACGTGTGACATCACTTCCTGGAAACCACTAGCTGGCATGGTGCCGTTGGACAGACTTGCCAGGCATTGGAACAGCTTTGATGCTTCTCGCCAAGCTCTGGCCGTTTCTGAGGCTGACGTCTGGGGTCCGGGCATCACAGCCGGGGAATGTGAGAGTGGGCGTGTCCGAGCCGTCACCCAGGGAAATGGGCCACGGGAGGCGGGGCCTGTTGTGACGCCCCTGCCTGACACAGACCACTCGGGGAGCTGGAGCTCTTCCTCTGCTCTTTGTCTGACTGTGACCTGCACACTGTCACTTTAATAAGTTGGCAGTGACATGCAGACCTGTCAGTGTGTCATGTGGCCACTGGGTAAACTGTAAGCCGGAGCATGCAGTGCGTGTGTGTGTGTATGTGTGACAAAGCAGCTTGCCCCGTCTGTGCGCTCAAGGTCTCCCCTGCTCCTTCTAGAAGCCGGGGGCCTGGCGCTCGTGTCCTGCTGAGTCCTCCTCAGCCTCTGATCTCCACTGCACGCCACCATGTCAGCCCCTCGGGAGGGAGAGGGAGGCAGCGCCGGCACTGCGCTGGGCACGTGGTTCTCGCAAGTCTCCCAGGCCATTTCCTCCGCCTTCCTCAGCCTGGGCCCAGGAGGCGGTAACCCAGGAGGCCCTGGCCGCGGGTGCCAGGCTGGGGCCGGGCAGGACGCGGCCGCGGAGGAAACCGCCGCAGACGAGCTGGAGACGCAGGAAGCCATCCGCACGCGACTCGCCCAGCTGGGCCTCACCGAGGAGCAGATAGCTGACCGGCTCTCCACCATCCCGGAGGAGAAGGAGGACGTGGAGAGCCAGCTCCTGTGCCCAGAGGAGGACATGTCGGGCGCGCACTCCTCCGGTAAGGGCTGTAGTACTGGCCGCTGCTCCCTGACTGATCCCCGAACACAATTACAAGGTTCACCGCTGCTCGGCAAGTAAGACACAGGGTGGGCTGCTCTCCATCTGCCCAGGAAGGGGGGTGTCACATTCTGCTACGCCCTCGACAGCAGGTGTAGAATGCGGTCCAGTGCCTTCACTGCGCTATTCAGAGGAATTAGATAATTGATGCCAACAGGAGCGTCTGGCCCTGAGGCTGCCGGGGGTGAGAGCCTCCGGTGATTATCCTGGGGCGCCGTGTGATCAGCAGCCATGATCATACTGAGAGGAACGTGTGATCCACACACACACACACACCTGCGCCTGTTTCCCAAAGTCCCAGCTGTTCTGTCTCCTCAGGATGTGGACTGACCCGTATTTCCTTAGTGGGCCCTCTAACTCGCTCGGTTTGGCAGAGGGCCGCCAGCATCGGATCCGAGTTCCTTCCGGAGGAAAACGAGTGCCGGCTATTGGCTGGCCTTTGCCATGGGAACAGAGCCCAGTGCTCTCTCCTGGGCCATTCGCGTTAGTCACTGAAGTGCAAGGCTTTTTCTCATCTAGCCTCCGCAGCCATAAAGGGCTCTTCTGAGCCACCCACTTCACCAGTGTCCTGCTCTAGTTGTGTATATACAGGAGGGGCTGGGGATGGTCTGTGTGTGGGGGGTGTTATTGTATTAACCTTTTCGGTGAAGTCAGATGCTCATCTGTAAAGGCCCCCACCTTTACTCTATTTTGTCATGGAGACAGAGTCGGGGCGAGTGACCTATGGTGCAGAAGATGTCCTCCTGAGGTCAGCTAGCCATGTTCTGGGGTTTCCATGGCAACACTGCTGCTGTCTTATTTTCTTTATGGTCCCTTAGATGCAGGTGCACGTATGGGCTGGAACGGATGGGCGTGGTGGGGTACAGGTCTGGGACCAGCGGGAATGCGGGTGGGGTCAGAGATAGTCCTGTAGGGGGTGTGATGACATCAGAGTGCTCAGGCGGTCATTTCAGGGTGTGGAAGAAACAGGCAGTGCAGCAAACGTGGCAGGCAGAGTGAGATCAAACCCCTGCGGGGCCACTGCAAACCATTCTGGTTATGCCCATTACATCTCACCTGTCTCTGCATTCTGTGGGAGGGTCTGAGGCCCGGCTGTTTAACAGTAGGTCTTTTCCTGTAATTCTGTTCTTTTCTGGTAGGTGGTGTTTTAAGAATGAAGTGTCTTTTCCCTCTTTCCCCCGTGTTTCCTCCTCTGTTTATATGTGTCTTTGTGTGTCCATTCGTGGCCACAGTGCACAGCTATGGAGCGGATGAGGATCGTAACACATCTTCGGACAGCGATGATGAGATGGCGAGGCGGTTTGGGGTCACCCGGGCAAGATCGTGGGGGGCCCAGAGCGGAGCGAGGAGTGCAGCTGGGCAGAGCCATAGCCCCTCTCACCTGCTGTCAAACCAGGAGGAGGGTAGTTCAGAGCCCTCAGACCATGAAGGTATTCAGAAGAAAGGGAAGTGAGTGAGAAGTGTCTGATGTGCATGAGGAGTGTCTGATGTGCGTGAGGAGTGTCTGATGTGCGTGAGGAGTGCATGAGGAGTGTCTGATGTGCGTGAGGAGTGCATGAGGAGTGTCTGATGTG